GTGCTGCCTCCCCGAGCACCTGCGGTTAGAGGGTGTCTGTTCGGTGCTAACACCGTCGGCCTCGATGCTCAGCCTCCTGTGTCCGGCTTGTCCCGTCTGAAGGCCAGCAGCTCGCTCCCTGGCCTCACATCCCTTCCTTCCTTCCCCGGCGGTCACTGAGCGGTTTTATAGGCAGTGTGAGCTGCACAGCCCCGGCTGGCCTGGCGCCGTGGCCCTGGGGGAGGCAGGGGACGGGCACGAGGTCATACTCGGAGCGGTTGTGTGGAGTCAGAGGCTTGGGCTGGGATTCAGGAAAGAGAGGAACCTCACCTAGAGGTCAGGAGGCGCTCTGCGGGGAGGAAGCGGGGAGAGGGGAAGGGGTAGGGGAGATGAATGGCGAAGGGAAAAAAATTAATAAAATATTTGTAAAAGAGGGCCCTCTCCGAGGAGCGGCTGCCCTCCGAGAGCCGAGCGTCGTGTGGAGAGGTGGCCACGCTGCTGCTGGGATGTGTCGGGGCGCTGGGGCCGGTCCCCGCCTCGGACAGGACACGGCCTCGTGTGGCGGGAGCACTGGTGTTGCTCGGAGAACTCTGTCTTAGTCCATTTGGTTCCAGAAAACCCCGGCCGGGTTAGTGGGAAAGGAGGCGAGAAAGGAGTCCTGGAATAATGGGGCAGGGTGAGGCCCCAGAGCAGGCACATGTCACACACGTGGGCGGGAGCGGGAGTGCCCCTGGCAGACTGGACAGGAGGCCGTGGGAGTTCAGCAGCCCGTGTCCTGGCCTCCGCTTACTGCCGTAAAGCGGGGTGGCCCGGCCCGGCTCTTCCTGCTCACGGCTCTGCGTCACCTGAGGCCTGGCCTGTCCTCTCCCCTGACGCCCTCCCGCCCTCACCCTGGGTGCGTGAGGCCCCCCCTGCTGTAGCCTGAAGTGACAGCCACAAACGGGCACCTTCACAGGCTGCTCCCCCTACCGCGCTCCCCAGGTCAAGGCACCCATCCTACAGATGAGGGTGCTGAGGCTCACAATTGAAGTGGCAGCTGATAAGTAGCAGTTGGCATCACAGTAGGCCTGACAGGTGCCCGCCAGACTCCAGCCTGGCATTGAGAAGCCCTGGCAGCCGGGGCCTCTGGAGCGCTGAACTTCCTCCCCGCCTGGGACAGGTCTGAATGGCATGAACAGCAGCATCTGGGAGCACTTTGCCTCTGGAAGCTTCTCCCCAGGCACATCCCCTGCCTTCCTGTCAGGACCAGGGGCTGCTGAGCTGGCCCGGCTTCGGCAGGAGCTGGAGGAAGCGAACGGCACCATCAAGCAGTGGGAGGAGTCCTGGAAGCAGGCCAAGCAGGTACGGCCCCTCACAGGGCCCGGGGGTGGGGGCCGGAGCCTGGAGGACAGGAGCCTGGGCGGCGGGCCCAGACCGGAGCTCCGGGCTGTTCACGGGCTCTGGGCCCAGCACCACTTGGCCTCCTAAGAAGCCCCGACTCCCGGGCTCACGCCCAGGTTCTAGGTTCTGAGAGGGGCCTCTGTCCGGGCAGCAGTTCCGGGCCCAGCCCTCCTCCCCGCCCAGGGGGGTCTCCTGCCGGTCCTGACCCTCCCTTCTCTGCGGGCAGCGTCAGCTTCCTCCCTGTCCCCTCCCCAGACAGCCGGCCCCGCTCCCTAGCAGGCCCCGCAGCCACAGAGGCTCCTACAGGCTCCCAGGGGCCAGAGGGCAGGGGCCGCCGTGACTGGGTGCCGCGTGTTTGGCCCACAGGCTTGTGACGCCTGGAAGAAGGAGGCGGAGGAGGCCGGCGAGCGGGCCAGCGCGGCGGGCGCCGAGTGCGAGTTGGCCCGGGAGCAGCGGGACGCGTTGGAGGTGCAGGTGCAGAAGCTGCGGGAGGAGCGGGAGCGGCTGCACGCGGGGCCCGACCCGCAGGCCCTGCCCGCCTTCTCCGACCTGGAGGCCCTCTCGCTCTCCGCCCTCTACTCCCTCCAAAAGCAGCTGCGGGCCCGCCTAGAGCAAGTGGACAAGGTCAGCCAGGAGGTCAGGGAACACTGGGTGGGGGTGGAAGAGGCCACAGCCAGGGTTTGGACGCTGGTGGGTCCTCACTGCGCCAGGGGTGCCACCCTGCTGGAGGGAGCTAGGAGGGGAACGTCTCACTGGGGAGGGAGCAAGCAGGAGTTGGGTCCATGCCCATGCCAGCACTTTGGGGGCAGGTGCTGGCCTGAGTCACTTCCTGATGGCTTCTCTGAGCTCTGCACGAACCAGCAGATGTTCCAGAATGGGGAGGTCCCAGGGCTACCCTGGCTGCATCCCGCAGGCGCACAGAGGACGGAGTGGTGGTGGTGGGGGTGTCCTGGAGAACTGCACAAACTCAGGTGGCCACACACCTGCGGGCTGTCCGCCCTCTCCAGGCCCCCTGCTCTCGTTTGGGGGCCCAGGGCCGCCTCCCCTGCACACATGCCTCTGGAGCACCGTGCCTCAGTTTCCTCCTCCAAAGGGGCCACAGTGAGGGTTAAGGAACCTTGTCCGAACCAAGGCTGGGCCGGTGGCCACGATGTCGCTTTCCCCGCAGGCCGTGTTCCACATGCAGTCGGTGAAATGCCTTAAGTGTCAGGAGCAGAACCGAGCGGTGCTGCCGTGCCAACACGCCGTGCTGTGCGAGCTGTGTGCCGAGGGCAGTGAGTGCCCCGTCTGTCAGCCGGGCCGGGCCCATGCCCTCCAGTCGTGACCCTGCAGGCCCGGCCCCGGCCTGGCCCACATCTTCCCACCTAGGACTTTTTAAAGTATATATATATATATATATATATATGTATGTATGTATGTATGTATGTATATGTATATGATTATGTATATGTATACATCTCCGTGCGTGTGCAGGTATGCGTGGGCGACCAGTGTGACAGTGTCTGTGTGTATATCTGTGTGTAGATATAGACACACACTTTAAACAGACTTACCAAGCACTTTTTAAAGAAGAAACTATTTTGCAGTCCTCCCCTGCCCGCTCCTCCCTTCCCCTCCCTCTGCTCCCACAGCCTGCGGCAGGGAGTCCAGAGCCCGCTCCTGTCTCTTTTATATGTAGGACTAACTATTTTTAACTTTCTGGGGCCTGAGCAGGGAGGTGGAAGCTGGAAGGGGCACAGGGGAGAGGGAGGCCTCAGGGCAGGCCCTGTTCCCCTCTTCTAGGCCAGGGTCAGGGGCTCGGAGGCCCGGGCAGACCTGCTTCCGGCTGCGGGCCTGAGGGAGTGCTGGGGTCCAGGCAGCCTGGCTGCTGGTTTACCAGATGCACATAGTTTGGGGCTGGCAGGCCCAAGTAGCCCCGCGCCCAACCCCAGGCCCTTGAAGCCCGCGAAGGTCAAGGCCCGGGAGTTGGACCCCTCAGGTTCCTGAGGCAGGTCTGCCTCAGCCCTCCCCGGTTCCCAGAGCAGCCTGCCTGGCCCCATGGCCACCCACCAGGCTGGCACTGCCCTCCCCGTCACTCCCTGCTGCCTTCAGCTGTCCCCCTTCTGGCACTGCCCAGCCCATGCCCTCCGCCCTCTCCCTCCGGCAGCTAGCAGGGCCATTGGCGGGAGGAGCTGCAGACTGAGGACCAGGGGCCCCAGGCCCTGCCCTCCCTCCGCCAGGAGGGGCTCCGATGCATTCCTTGGTGCTCTCCGAGTGCAGCTGACGTCCTGCCGCTCGGCACGACGCCCGAGTGCATGTGTGTGCGTGCCTGTCCGTGTATAGTGTGTCTTAGCTCCATTTTAAATTGCTCTGTACAGACAGATGCGGCGGGGCGGGGGCGGGGGCGGAGGGCAGCCGCCCGCTGCCGGCGCTGGGTGTCGGGTGGGAGCAAGAGCGCCGCGAGGCCTGGCCCCAGCCCCCCTGTGCTCAGCACCAAAGGGCTTTCAATGAATTAAGTGAAAACTTTCTTTTTTTACAAAAAAATGCAAAAATCAACAAAGCTCCAAATCTTTGGAAATAAAATATGAACTTGAAATGGTAGCTTGTTTGCATGGGCGAGGGCAGTGTGGTCCCAGGTGAGGGCCTCTGGACCAGGGGTGGGCCAGCTCAGCTCAGCTGTGCCTGCCCGGCCCCGGCCCCTCCTGGGCGGAAGCTCTGCCCAGCTGGGGAAGCAGCTTGTGCCCCACCGGAGCTGAGGCTGGGCGCCTGCCGAGGCAGAGCTCCCAGGCCGTAGTCTCTGAGCCCAGACAGACCTGGCCCTGCAACGTTCCTCCAGCTCGATGGACAGCTGCCACCAGCTTGTTTGCTTCCGAAGGATGGCAGGGCCCTCGGGGCTTCTCATAGAAACAGGAGAAAGGCGGGCCCAGAGATGTCCTGTCCGAGGGCTGAGGGTCCCAGCCTTTGAGCCACATCCTCCCTCCCCTGCTCTCCGCTGGCCTGTTGGATGGTGTGAGCAAACAGCTAAGGGGCTCCTCTGTGGCCTCAGAAGTTCCAAGCTGAAGAGGCGATGGAGCCATCTCAGACCTCCCACACGTCACCCTGTGCAGCTCACAGAGGGCGACCTGACTAGGGCCACGCAGCCAGGACAACCGGGCCTCAGACCTGACTCCCAGCACGTGTGACTGCCAGCACGGAGGCCACTGCCCTGGAGGCTGCCCGCTCTCGGTGCCCCTGGAGTCCCAGCCCCGATGCTGGCAGCAGCCACAGACAAGTATCTGTTCAAAGCTCTTGGCCCAAATACCAGTAGTGCCAGTTGCCCCGCATCTGCTCCTGCATCAGTAACCCCCACCTTACTCCCTGTAAGATGGGGCAGCGGGGTGGGGGCAGCCCAAGGTGTCTTGCAGGCTGGGCAGGTTTGCATGACCTGACACCTGGGCCCACTTAGGCAAACAGCATGTTTTCTGAGAGGATGGTGGATTGCGATGTTTTTATTTTTGCGCAGAACACATTTAGGTGGCCGGCACTGGTTGGGGGATGGGGGGGGGGGGTGTCCTCAGTAGATACAGTTAGCCAGACTGTCCTTCCTGCTCCTGCCTTCCGTGCCAGCTCACTCCCCTGCCTGCCAGCTGTCTCCCGGCAGAGCCGGTCCCCGGCCCCAGGCCTCAGCCTGGGCTCCTTCCACAGCCCTGGCCCCAATGAGTCTGAGTGGGGGTGCTGAAGAGGAGGCCCAGGGGCTGGAATCGGTTTCCGGGAGGGACAGATGACCGAGCCCCTGCTTGGCCAGCGCTTCTCCCAGAGGGCAGGGCAGGATGTGACAGCTGCCCCGCCCGGTGCTGGGATCTGGCAGAGAAGGCCGAGGCCGAGGCTGAAGGCGGGAGTGCGGGTGGAGGGGGTATAAATACTGTGTCCCCAGCATCGGGGCCCGCTCTGGCAGGAGACCGGAGGGCTGCACTGCGGGGGGACACCAACCCTCCCAGGAGAGCCTGCCCCTGCCCAGAGCCCGCCCTCCAGGCTATCTCCCTGGCTGTGGGGCATGCTGGGAGGCCTGCCTGGCTCGCTGCCGCCGCAGCTTCACAAACGCCTGGGCCTCACGGTCCCCCTTCCTGCTCTCCAGCAGCCGCAGGACGGGATCCCCTGTGGAGAGAGGTGTTGGGGGGTTAGGTTCGGAGTGTGTGGGGGGGAGGCAGTGCCTGGGGGGTGCAGGGGACAGCTGGCGACCTGTCACCTTCTAATATGAGGAGCTCAGGTCAGCTAACCTCTGTGCCTCAGTTTACTCAGTCTATAAAATAATAGCAATAATAATAGCAACCTGCTTCATTGGGTGGCTGTACGGATTGACAATAATATATGTCAGGTAAGTGGAGCCGGCCCATAGTGCACAAAGGTGACCTGGTCCTGTTAGCAAGCTGGGCCTCCCCAGGCAAATGGTGCCCTCCTCCCCAGAGACCGCCCCTACGCGTGGCCCGGAGGTCTCCGCAGCATCAGCCTCCACGCTGGCTCCAACCGCGTCGCCTCCAGGGCCTCAGTCTGAACCTCGGGCTGCCCCTCCCTGCCCCCCCAGCGCTGGGCTCAGGCCTACCGTTGGGCATGGGGTAGGTGAGGGGCAGGCGCGTCTGGGGCACCTCCCCGGGCTCTGCAGTGCCATCCAGGCCGGGCACCGAGCACAGAGGCAGGAAGGCCTCGCCCTCCAAGTCATCCGTCCCCAGCGTGTCGTGGTCCAGCACCGTGAGCAGCAGGCAGGCCCCGTCCTTCTGGCACGGCTCAGCGGGCACCAGGCTGGGGGAGGGCAGAGTTGGGCTTGGCTGCCCACCCCACACACTGCCACTGCCATCCCCCCCACTGGGCTCACCTCCTGTTCCTGAGGACAGGCCAGGACTGGGGGAAAGATGCCAGATTGGGGGGGGGGGGGGAGCTGCAAAGTATGGGCCACATGGCCTGATGCTCTGACTGGGCCGTGCTTTAAACCAGGGTCCTATGGGCTGGAGCCATCCAGGCTCAGCCACCTGGTGTGGGGATGATCGAATACACTTGTAATCCCTCAAAAATAAAATAAAATAAAAAACAAAACAGGGGCCCTATGATCTGGGGCTGGGCCGCTGGTGTCAGAGGACTTCCGGTCAGGACCCTTCCCTGGAAGTGACATGGGAGTCTCCCCCACAGCCTGGCCCCTCCCACCGGCCCGAAGGAGGTCACCTCAGGGGAGCCCCCTGGGCCCAGTCAGCAGGAGCTCCAAGTGTGGGACCCACTCACAATTCAAAGGTCTCATCAAACAGCGGGTGCAGGTCCTTCTTGTGCTTTTGGGTCTCGCGGGGAGCCAGCTCAGGGAATTCGTGCCTGGGCTCCAAGGTCAGCTGGACAAAGGGGTCGCTGGAGCCTGGCAAGTGGCGGGGTGGGGTGGGGGTACAATGGCCAAGGATATCCCAGCCCTTCCTCTCGCCCCCCTCCCAGCCTCCACTCCCTGCAGCTGTGCCTGCTCAGCAGCACTGCCCCCTCCTGGCCATCCGGAGGAAGTGCATCCCGAGCTCCCGCGGGGCGAGCAGAGCCCCCGGGGGCCCGGAGTGACCAGCGGGCAGCCCCGCTCACCGTTGGCGTCCAGGGGCAGCAGGTTGGAGGCGCTGAGCAGCTCCACGCGCAGCTTCTGCTCCGAGGCGCGGTAGGAAGCCTTGAGGGTCACGGCCCCGAGCTCCTCGGTGGTAGTTTCGGCCTGGGGGCGGGGCGATGGGCGTCAGGGCGGGGCTTAGGGTTGCGTGGGCGGGGCTTAGGGCTGCATGGGCGGGGCTTGGGCGGGGCGGGCGCCAGGCCAGGCCCTCACCTGCCTCTGCAGGCGGCGGCTGAAGTACTTCCGGATGAGCTCCCGGCTGGAGGCCGCCTGCAGCCCCAGGTCCCGCTGCAGATCCTGCGGACGATCACACTGGACGGTCACACTCCGGAGCTCGAGCTCCGGGCCAAGAGGGAGACGTTAATCCGCCACGGAGCGCTCCGGGCGCCCCGGGACCGCGGTCGGGGACACCCTCAGGACTGCCCTGGCGGACAGGCCGGCCTCCCCTAGCGCCCCTCCATGCTCGGACCCGCCCGCCGCCTTCCCGGGCTGCTGCTGCTGCCGCCTTTTTTTTTTTTTTTTTTTGGAAAAAGAAGCCCACGTGTTTTTTGTTGTTGTTTTGCTGTCCTCCCCCGAGGATATTTTTCCGTTGGTTTTTAGAGAATGAGGAAGAAAGGGAGAGAGACAGAGAGGGAAACTTCCATGTGAGAGAGAGACATCGATTGGGCCGGGGATTGCAACCGAGGTACATGCCCTGGACCGGGATTGAACCCGGGACCCTTCGGTCTGAAGCTCTATCCACTGAGCCAAACCAGCCAGGGCTAAATGTCTTCATTGGGTGCGAGGCGCTGTGGGCACAGGGGAGCACAGGGGGGCCGGCCCCCCACCCAGGCCCACCAAAGGCCGTACCTGGAAGGTGGCCGTGTGCAGGGCCTCGGGCTGCAGGCCGCAGCCCTCGGCATAGAAGCAGATCTCCAGGTTCTAGAGGACGAGCAGACAGGTCAGAGGTGACCCCGCACACGCCCACCGGGCTCTCGCCGCGCCCCCCGGGCTCTTACCTGCAGCGCCACCTCCAGCCTCCTGGAGGCCGGGGCGCAGCTCCGCTGGGCGGCGGCCACCTCGGCCAGCACCGTGAGCGTGTGTGTCCAGAGCAGGGTCAGAAGGCTGGGCGAGGCGCCGGGAGGCCGGACACCGGACAGAGACGGAAGAGGAGGAGGCAGAGATGCTTTTGAGAAGGGACCTCAGGGACCCAGGCCCATCCCAGCTCTCCTCACCTCACCCCCACCTGCTTCCCAGGTGGGCCGGGGCCCAGCAGGGACTGAGGGCTGGTCTCCTGAGGGCGAGGGGCGGGGAGTTGGGCCAGTCGTGCCCAGCGTGTCTCCCAGCCTCGGGCAGAAGCCTCAGGATCATCAAACCCCAACAAACAAGGGATGGGAGGCCGCTCCCGGTGACTGACCATGGGCCCCAGTGACTGGTCCTGGGCCAGGACGGCAGTGGCCAAAGCAAACAGGCTCTCAGCGCACCGTCCAGAGAAGCCCCTGCCAGCTGCCCCGGAGGGAGGGGGGCTGGCCAAGGCCCAGGCCTAACAACCACCTGAACAGCTGGCATGTCACATGACGACGTGGAGCCAGGCAGTTAAGTACAAAACTGTGTGGTGCAAGCGTGGAGCCGACACCAGGCGTAGCTAACTAACTTAGTCACGTGCTCCCACACCCACCACTGTCCTAGGGTGTCCGAGGCGGTGGAGAGTAAAGTTCTTCTCTGGGTGGAGATTCAACTCCGTTTTAGGTGAAAATTGAAGCTCAACAACTGGCATTCGAGGGCTTAGGAAATAAAGAAGGTGGGCTGCTGGCCTAGCCGGATTAGCTCAGCGGATAGAGCATCAGCCTGCGGACTCAAGGGTCCCGGGTTCAATTCTGGTCAGGGCACATGCCTGGTTTGCAGGCTCGATTCTCAGTGGGGGCGTGCAGGGGGCAGCCCATCAATGATTCCCATCATTGATGTTTTTTCTCTCTCTCCCTTGCTCTCCGAAATCAATAACAATATGTGTGTTTTAAAAGCCCCCGTCACTAGCAGTGGAGCAGGGGGAGGGCCCACGGCCCGCTGGGGGTCTAGCACCACCCCATTGCCGCGGTGCCGGCCGATCACAGCCTCCTCCTCTGCGCAGCTCCGCTCCCAGCCCGTCGGCGACTCCCTGAGCCCTAACAGAGGCCAGGACTACGGCCGTCTCCACAGAAAGCTGAGTCACCGCTCAGGACCGCCCCAGCCGCGGCGAAGCTGAAGTCTGAGTCCAGCTTGTCCAGACCCCACGCCCAGACCTCATCCCCCACGGCCCTGAGTCAGGGGAGAGGAAATCAGCTGCCCGTGACGTGAGGGGCAGAGGCCGGAAGGCCCGGGGCAAAGGGCAAAGGATGTCGGATAGTGAGCTCCCTGTTCTGGAGCGAGCACTCGGCAGAGGCCCGGCCTCCTCCCGGGAGGCCAGGCCGGGGCGGGGCAGCAGGGGCAGCAGGGGGAGGGCGGCGCAGGGCGGCCGCGCACCTGCTGAAGTTCTCCTGCACCAGGTTGGTGTTCATGTAGCAGAGCTCCACCTCCAGGAACTTCATCAGGGGCAGGATGGCCTGTGCAGAGGGGGCAGCACGTCCAGCGCAGCCCAGCCCGTCCCACCCGGCCCTGCCCGGCTCTGCCCGATCAGGGAGGGAACGGGCCTCTGTGCCCGGCGTCGGGACTCCCATGACAGCCAGCCTCTGCCCGACCCGTTCCCCTCGTCAAGTCTAGCCCCACAGAGCTGGCCAAGGTCAGCGAGAGGGCGGCCACTCACGTCCTCCGGCAGCACCGACTCCCGGACGCCCACCAGGCTGTGGATGTGCTTGGCAATGCCCACCTCCAGCTGCAGACACAGAACAGCAGGGGGCGTTCGGGAAGGACTGGGGGCTGGACATCAGCTGCTGGGGGAGCTGGGGGAGGCTTTAGGCTGAGGACGGGTGGACCAGGGTCCCTGGGGTCGGACAAGGTACCTGCTCGGCCAGGGTGCGGACGCCCGCACGGATCTCGTGGCTGAGCCCGGCCAGCGCGCTCTGCAGCTGGGCGTGCAGCGTGTGCTGCAGCTGCCCCTGCTCCAGCACAGCCCCGACCCGCTGCTCCAGCGCCTCCCATGCCAGCTGGGCAGGGAGCCTGCCGATCACCAGCCGCAGCTGCTCCATGTCGTTCACCACCACGCACAGCTGGGGGCGGGCAGAGCTCCCTGAGCAGGGGCAGGTGGGCACCCCAGCCCAGCCCAGGCCAGCCCAGCCCAGCCCCCAGCGCGGGCCCTTACCATATTGGCTGCCAGGGCCTGGTCCTTCTGGCCTGAGGCCAGCTCCCGGGCCCGGGCCTTTATCAGGCTGCAGTACACCAGGGCCAGCCGACAGGTGTCCTGGGTGAGGAGGGGTGGTCAATGGGGGGCACCCAGGAGGGGCAGAGGGCGAAGGCACAGGAATCGCAGGGACTCGGGAGGCAGGCCTTGGAGAGCCGGGGCGGGCGGGCGGGCGGGACGAGGCTGTGTCGGGAGGCGGGAAGGACGCGGGGAGACGCTGCACCTCCACGAACTTGACGGTGATCATGAAGGCCTCCTCGGGGTCAGGCCAGTCCAGCTGCTGGGCCGTGTGGCCGATCTGGGCGAAGCAGGTGGACAGGTCCACAGCCGAGGTGCTGTGCTTGGTCAGCTCACCCAGGGGCACCAGCTGGGGGACGGAGAGCAGTCAGAGAGGAGAGCTGGGAGCTTGCTAAACCCATGCCTGCTCCCTCCTCCCTCCCACTGCACTCCTGCTTCTGCCATCTGCAAACTGAGCCGGGCAGGGGGCTACAGGGGAACAAGCAAGGCTCCGCCCAGGTTCCCCTCCCCACAGCCCCACCATCCCCCCAAACCCCACCCCCACCGCCTACACGCCCACCGCCCTCACCACCCCCTGCAAGAATCCATCTGTAAGGGGAAGCCACAGCGCCAAGGATAACGAGAGGCAGCGTTTGCATACAGCTGGCCTAAGAGCATCCTTTGGCCGGGCGCAGGGGCTCAGGGGCTGAGTGCCAACCTAGGAACCAGGAGGTCACAGTTGGATTCCAGGACAGGGCACATGCCCAGGTTCTGGGCATGGCCCCCAGTAGGGGGCGTGCAGGAGGCAGCCGATCCATAATTCATCACTGATGTTTCTATGTTTCTCTCCCTCCCCCTTCCTCTCTGAAATCAATACAAATGCATTTTTTTAAAAATAATAAAAATGAAAAACAAAAGCATCCTTTATCACCAGTGACCTGAACGTCCTGAAGTTCCTGCAGAGCCCCAAGCCCCGCCCCAAAGCCGAGACCCCGCCCCACCCAGGCCCTGCCCCCACCTGGTCCATCTGCACAGCGCGCTGCACCCGGGCCAGGGCCACGCTGTAGGTCTTTTGCAGCCAGGAGGGCACGGCGGGCTGGAACCAGCGGTGGAAGCCGTCCAGGGCCAGCACTCCATCCCTGGGGGCCGCGGGAACGGGCTCAGCCTGGGGAAAGCAGGCCGGGCCAGCGGCGCCCCCCCCCCCCCCGCCTACCCCCCAGGGATGGAGTGCTGGCCCTGGACGGCTTCCACCGCTGGTTCCAGCCCGCCGTGCCCTGTGCACCCGCTGCCCGCCGGCGGGCGCCCACCTCTCCGAGGGCGCCGGGCCCAGCCGGCAGAGCTCCTTGAGGCTGGTGTAGAGCTGGAACAGGCTCTCGCCCACCTCCGGGGACACCGGGCCGCTCACCGCCGCCGCCGTGTGGTCCTGCACCCGCTTGGCCACCTGCGAGGGGACCGAGAGGTGGGCAGGGCCCGGGGCCGGGGCGGAGGGAGCGGGAGAGGCCTGGGCCCCGGACTCACCAGCCACTGCAGCTCCAGGAAGGCCATGGAGAAGAGCTCGATCTTCAGGACACTGCAGGAGAGCCAGCGGGTGACCTGGTGCCACACCCCGGTCCCCTGGCCCGCGCTGGGCCCGCCCCCCTCCCTGCCCCGCGCTCACTTGTGGAAGATCTTGTTCCACGTGCGCTGGCACTGGTGCAGGTCGCCGGTGATGTCCTGGACCAGGCCCAGCAGGGCCTTGCCCGCCTCCAGCAGGCCCTGGGGGACAGAGGCCAGCTGAGCGGGCTGGGCGAGCAGGTACCCAGCCACCGCCCGCCCCGCCCCTCACCTGCACCATGGGCTGATGGTGCTGCTGCTTCAGGTGGAACCATTCGACCGTGCCAGCCTGCGGGCAAAGGGGCAGTGAGCAGGGGGGTTGCTCGGCCCAGGCACACGCCCTCCCCACCCCCAGGGGGCACCGTACCCGCAGCGTCTCGGTCACCAGCTGGGGCAGCGGGGCACTGTCCGGGCACAGCTCTCCAAAGGCCTTCGTCTTGCACATCTGGACCAGCACCCTGTGAGGACAGAGCCTGCTGCCCACACCCCGCCCTCCACAGCGTCCCACCCCTGCAGGTGCCCCCGCCGTGCCCCAGTCCCCGACCACACGGACCTGAGCAGAGACTGCAGCCGGGCTGGGGAGTCGGCGACCGAGAGGGGGAAGACGGTGCGGAACCTCCGGATGAGGGACAGGCCGTAGGCCAGCAGGGATTTGAACGAGGCGGCCAGCTCCTCCCGCTGCAGCCCAGGAAGGTGCCCAGGAGATGCTGTGAGGCCCGAGATGCAGGATGGAGCCCCCACAGCCGCTCCCGTCTCTGGGCCTTGCCTTGCCCCACCCCCCTCGCCCCACCCCTGTCCACCTGTTCCGCCTGGAGCCGGCCCTGGATCCACTGGTACTCGATGCTGGTGATGGGGTGCAGGAGGCAGCTGCTGGGGAACTCCAGGTCCTGGTAGACTCGGCTGTAGGCCAGCCACTGCCTGTGGCACATGGGGGCCCTCAGCCTGGCCAGGCTGGGCACCTCCCCGCCCGCTGCGCACCCAGCCCAGCCTCCGGAGGGACGGCGTCCGAGTTAACCACCCATCTCTTAGAATAGGACACTGTGATTTTAAAATTTGGCTTTCGCCGAAACCGGTGTGGCTCAATGGATAGAGCGTCGGCTTGCGGAGAGAAAGGTCCAGGTTCGATTCCGGTCAAGGGCATGTACCTTGGTTGCGGGCACATCCCCGGTAGGGCGTGTGCAGGAGGCAGCTGATCGATGTTTCTCTCTCATCGATGTTTCAACTCTCTATCCCTCTCTCTTCCTCTCTGTAAAAAATCAATAAAATATATATATTTTTTTAAAATTTGGCTTTCTTGCTGCTTTTGAAAAATCCGATGTGTGGAGACTTGAGCAAACGCTGGCTGGAACCTCCCGTTAGATAACTCAGGGGAGACTTCCCGAGGTGGCGATGGCGATGGGACAGGTACAGGTGGGAGGGTGGGGGAGGACACAGCCCTGGCCCTGGCCCTGCCGGAAGGTGGCAGCCACCTGCGTGACAGGCTTAGGCCCGGTGGGTAAACCAGGCCGTCCTCACCGGTGCTGCTCCAGTCTCAGCCGCACCTGCCCCCCCACCTGTCAGGAGTCCCCAGCTGCCCCCAGCCAAGAGCTGCTCCTTCCGCCCCTGACCCCAATGCCAAGGGCCAGCCCTGCTCAGGGCAGCACCCGCTGTGCCCTCCTTCCAACCCCGTGGGCACTGCAATGTCTGTGAGCTCACATGTGCGCCTGCCTGGTTCCCTTCCTCCCATCTGCTGTGATCCCGGGAATGGGACCTGCCCGGCACCGAGCAGTCCCTCGGTGCCCATATTTGCCACAGGACGGCGGTGGCATTGGGAAGTGGGCTCGGCCTGGGGCAGGGCTGGCAAACTCAGATGCCCAGGATTGAGATGATGGCAGGGCAGGACTGGGCCTGAGGGAGCCAGCAGGAGGCAGCGGGTGGCAGCGCGGAGGCTTCGCCAGGGCTGGCGATAGGAATCTGCACGGGAGCTGGTGACGAACTCAAAACCAAAGACACACAGTTCAGGCCAAACAGGCATTTCTGGGGGTTGGGCTCCGGCTGCCGGCCCACGGAGGGCAGGGGGGGGGGTGTGCTCACGCCATGGCCTGGTGGAAGTCGGACAGGTCCTTCTGGGTGGCGTGGAGAAACAGGATGGTGGCCGCCTGGGGACTCAGCGACCCGTCCCAGGAGGTGCTGCCTGCCTGAGGGGGCGGCGGAGGGGGTCAGGGCCGGGCAGGCAGCCCCGGGCCCCGCCCCGCCAGGGAGGGCAGTACCTGGTGCTGGGTGACTTCGTGGGCCACGAGCTGCTGCAGCAGGTGGAGGTGCACCGTGCAGCTGGGCTGGGAGCGGCTGGCGGCTGTGGCTCTCTGCAGGAGGCCGGTGTGGGGTGAGCCGAGCCCCCCACGCCCGGGCGGCCCCTGGGAGGCCCCTGGCCCTTGGCCCAGACCTACCCGCTTGTGAATGAGCTGGAACTGGAGGTGGCACCGGCCGCGGTCCGGGTAGGTCTCGGTGCAGGGCTCCAGCCGGTACCACTGGTCTTCCCGGCAGCGCAGGTCCTGGCGGCGGGGGGTGGGGGTGGGGGTCAGGAGATGCTCACCCCAGGAGCGGGCACAGGGAGGCGCCGGAGGCAGAGCTGGAACCCCGCCCTGACCCCTCGCTGACCCCTCCCGCCTCTCCCCGCCCTCACCTGGAGCCTCAGGACCACGTTGCCCAGGAAGTCGTCCTGGCCCTTGTCCTTGCGGGCATCCTTGAAGATCCTGCGCCGGGCGGGGGCGTGAGGGAGGCGGCCCGGAGCCCGAGGGCCAGGACGGCACCGCCCCCACGTGCGGCCACAGGGCCCCTCCTCCCGGGAGCCCGGCGCACCCACCTGCGCAGCCCGTGCAGGTCGGTGAGCTCCCCGAGCTTGTGCCTGACGGACTCCACGGCGTCCAGGTCCCTGGGGCGCGGGTGCGAGCTCAGCGGGGCCTCCGGAGCCCCGCCCCGAGGCTGACACCCCCTCGCCCCCCGCCGCGGCCGGCACCTCACCACATGTCCAGGTGGAAGCTGGAGCTGCTGATGTCCTCAAACTCCCTGTGGCGAGAGGACGGTGAGGCCGCGGAGGGCAGACCCCGCGTCCAGCCACGGCCGCCCCAGCCCAGGCTTCCGGAGGCGCCCTCCCCGGAGCGCCCCCGCGGTGCACTCCCCCCCCCTCCCGCCCCACCGCACCCCTCCCTTCAGCCAGTCAGGGCTCAGCTGCCCCAGATCAGTGACCGCTCACCCACCCGCCAGCACACGCCAGTCCGTGTCCGCCCTGCGTGTCCACCTGTCTGTCCGCCCTGCGTGTCCACCTGTCTGTCCGCCCTGCGCGTCCACCAGTCTGTCCGCCCTGCGCGTCCACCAGTCTGTCCGCCCTGCGTGTCCACCTGTCTGTCCTCCCTGCGTGTCCGCCTGTCTGTCCGCCCTGCGTGTCCGCCTGTCTGTCCGCCCTGCGCGTCCACCAGTCTGTCCGCCCTGCGTGTCCGCCTGTCTGTCCGCCCTGCGTGTCCGCCTGTCTGTCCGCCCTGCGCGTCCACCAGTCTGTCCGCCCTGCGTGTCCGCCTGTCTGTCCGCCCTGCGTGTCTGCCCTGCGTGTCCGCCCTGCGTGTCCACCTGTCTGTCCGCCCTGCGTGTCCGCCCTGTGTGTCCGCCCTGCGTGTCCACCTGTCTGTCCGCCCTGTGTGTCCACCTGTCTGTCCGCCCTGCGTGTCCACCTGTCTGTCCGCCCTGTGTGTCCACCTGTCTGTCCTCCCTGCGTGTCCACCTGTCTGTCCGCCCTGCGTGTCCGCCCTGCGTGTCTGCCCTGCGTGTCTGCCCTGTGTGTCCTCCTGTCTGCCGCCCTGTGTGTCTGCCCTGCGTGTCCGCCTGTCTGTCCGCCCTGCGCGTCCGCCTGTCTGTCCGCCCTGCGTGTCCACCTGTCTGTCCTCCCTGCGCGTCCACCTGTCTGTCCGCCCTGCGCGTCCACCTGTCTGTCCGCCCTGCGTGTCCACCTGTCTGTCCTCCCTGCGTGTCCGCCTGTCTGTCCGCCCTGCGTGTCCGCCTGTCTGTCCGCCCTGCGCGTCCACCAGTCTGTCCGCCCTGCGTGTCCGCCTGTCTGTCCGCCCTGCGTGTCTGCCCTGCGTGTCCGCCCTGCGTGTCCACCTGTCTGTCCGCCCTGCGTGTCCGCCCTGTGTGTCCGCCCTGCGCGTCCACCAGTCTGTCCGCCCTGCGTGTCCACCTGTCTGTCCGCCCTGTGTGTCCACCTGTCTGTCCGCCCTGCGTGTCCACCTGTCTGTCCGCCCTGTGTGTCCACCTGTCTGTCCTCCCTGCGTGTCCACCTGTCTGTCCGCCCTGCGTGTCCGCCCTGCGTGTCTGCCCTGCGTGTCTGCCCTGTGTGTCCTCCTGTCTGCCGCCCTGTGTGTCTGCCCTGCGTGTCCGCCTGTCTGTCCGCCCTGCGCGTCCACCTGTCTGTCCGCCCTGCGTGTCCACCTGTCTGTCCTCCCTGCGTGTCCACCTGTCTGTCCGCCCTGCGCGTCCACCTGTCTGTCCGCCCTGCGCGTCCACCTGTCTGTCCGCCCTGCGTGTCCACCTGTCTGTCCTCCCTGCGTGTCCACCTGTCTGTCCGCCCTGCGCGTCCACCTGTCTGTCTGCCCTGTGTGTCCACCTGTCTGTCCTCCTTGCGTGTCCACCTGTCTGTCCGCCCTGCGTGTCCGCCCTGCGTGTCTGCCCTGCGTGTCTGCCCTGTGTGTCCGCCTGTCTGCCACCCTGTCTGTCCGCCCTGCGTGTCTGCCCTGTGTGTCCGCCTGTCTGTCCGCCCTGTGTGTCCACCTGTCTGTCCTCCCTGCGTGTCCACCTGTCTGTCCGCCCTGCCTGTCCGCCCTGTGTGTCCGCCCTGCGCGTCCACCTGTCTGTCCGCCCTGCGTGTCCACCTGTCTGTCCTCCCTGCGTGTCCACCTGTCTGTCCTCCCTGAGTGTCCGCCCTGCGTGTCTGCCCTGCGTGTCCGCCCTGTGTGTCCGCCTGTCTGTCCGCCCTGCGTGTCCACCTGTCTGTCCGCCCTGTGTGTCCGCCTGTCTGTCCGCCCTGTGTGTCCGCCTGTCTGCCGCCCTGTCTGTCCTTCTGCCTCAGGAGCAGGCCTCTCCTGGGGTCTGCCAGGCCCTCCCGAGGCCAGGAAGCCCTGCTGGCCGCCCTCGGGCCACGTACAGGATGAAGGTCTCTTCCCAGACGGGGTTGAGCGTCTGGCTGATGACCTGGGTGCGGTGGGTCTGCTCCTCGGGGATGGTGTGCCTCACCACGGCCTTCGGCTGCCGCCGCCGCGCCCCCGGGCTGCCCCCCGGCACGCCCACCCCCTGCTCGATGCCCAGCAGGCAGTAGGGGTCACTGAACCCTGCAGGAGACGGGGAGGGTGCTGGCCGGCTCCGTGGGAGGGTCCTTCCCCCCACCCAGACCCGAGGGCAGGGAGCCGCCAGCGCCAGGCAGCCCCGGGGTGGCAGGGGACCGAGCCCCCGAGTTCCGGACAGACAGGCCAGCGGGGAAGGGGCGGGAGAGGCCCTCCGCTCACCGCTGACGTCCTTGCCCAGGATGCCCTTGGCCTGCTTCACCGTGGCCTTCAGGCAGAACACCGGCTTCTGCAGAGAGAGGGGCGCCTGAGCGGCCAGGGGTCTCCCAGCCCCGCCTTGCCCGGCCCCGGCAGGGTTACCTCGAGCTCCTGGACCTGCTGCAGCATCCGTTGGTGCTCCTCCGGCTCCAGGTGGAAGGCCTGGGTGGAGGAGGCGGGGTGGGTGGGAGCGGCAGGCGGGGGGGGGGGGCCTGCGTCGGGCTGGGGGGGAGCTGGCTCACCTCCTGCAGGTAGCGCAGCAGCTCCGAGGCCTCGGTCACGTGGCCGGGCTCGGGCCGGCCCAGGCGGTGCAGGACGGTGTAGAGCGCCTCCTCGTAGAGCAGGGCCCGCTGGGGCACAGCGGGGTCACGGGGTCACCGCAGGACACCCCCCCCCCCGGGCTGAGCCCCCCAGGCCCGGGCGCCCACACATGAGGGAGGGAGGGGGCCGTGGCCGCCAGGCTGGGCCAGGGTGCGGGCCGCCTGGGAGGGTGCAGGCTGCCTCCTGCCCTCTCTGCGCCCCACACCCCTTCCGGTCCTCACCTGCTCCGGGGAGAAGTGGTGGGATGGAGGCTCGATCTGGGGACGAGGGGGAGAGACAAAGTGGGGGCCGGGTCAGGGCCTGCCCGCAGGCGGCTCCGCGCAGAGCAGGCCCGGCCTCAGCCCACCTGTTCCCCCGGCAGGTCTCCGGGGGCGCCGGCCCCGGGCCCGCGGCCGCCGAGGTCCATCGGTGCGCAGCTGCCCAGCGCGAGGCCGGGCCCCTTCCTTCCCCAGAGGAAGCGGTGCCTTATCGGCGCGCTGGCCCAGCGGCGGAAGTGAGGCAGCAGCGGAGGTGGGAGCCGGGGGTCATGGTGAGCGGCCCGGGGCTTGCCCCCGGGTCCCCAAGCCGCCTGCCCCGTGGGGCCCCAAGCCGCCTGCCCAGTGGGGGCCCAAGCCGCCTGCCCCGTGGGGGCCCCAAGCCGCCTGCCCCGTGGGGGCCCCAGCCGCCTGCCCCGTGGGGCCCCAAGCCGCCTGCCCCGTGGGGCCCCAGCCGCCTGCCCCGTGGGGGCCCCAAGCCGCCTGCCCCGTGCGGCCCCTGCCTGATGGGGCCGGGGCCTTGGAAGCCTGAGGAGCTGGGGGGGGGGGTCCACCAGAGGGGGGCTCAGACCCCGACCTGAGGCCGGGGCGGCCCAGAGGGCACAGCCTGCCTTGCGGACAGAGGCTCTGCCCGGGGGCGGGCAGGGAGGCGAGCACCGGCCGCAGCCGCAGCCCCAGCGAGGGGGCCCCACCCGGCCAGCTCTGCGCCCGCCCGGAAGGCACTCCTACCTCCCGGGCCGGTCGGGGCGGGGGATCCTCGGCGTCGCGGACCCGGCGGCGCCTTATCTTGATGGCCTGTCGCAGGAGGGGGGGGCGCCGCTGCGGGTGGGAGAGGAGCGTCGCCATGGCCGCCGCTGCCCGCGGGGCAGATAGCGAAGCCGCAGGATTGGGCAAGGCCGGGCGGCCCCTGGGCCGGGAGGGGAGGCGGGGCAGGTGGGGAGCGGGCAGGCCGGGGTTTCACCACCTCGGAGGCCCCGTCGGGCCCTGCGCCTTCCTCCCTCCCTCCCGCGGGGACCCTGGGAGGAACTGCGGGCAGAAGGTGGCCTCATGGGCGGGCCCGGCCCCACCCACCCCGCCTGCCGAGGAAGCAGGGAGGTCCGTGCTCCCCAGCAGGGGGCGGCCTCCCTGGGGGGGCTTCCCACCCACATGTCCTGAATGGGCCCCTCCACCTGGGTGGGGTGTGGGTGTGGGTGGGGATGGGGGTGGGGGTGGGCAGGACAGAGTGAGGGCTCCAGGGAGGTGCCTCCCCGGCAGGTGGCCAGCCTGCACCACCCACAGGCCACATTCCAGCGAGGTGACCAGGCTGCGCCAGGCTAGGACGCCCGAGGGCCCTGCCCCCCAGGACAGCCAGGAGGGCGCCCCTCAGTGCTGCCCGGGCTGGGGCTGAGGGGGAGGCCGGGGCGGGGCCTGGCCTCTCTCCACAGGGCACCCTGGTCCCGAAGAGGCAGGAAAGTGGACACTCAGGGCTCGGCTTTCTCAGAGCTCAGGACCTGCCAGGCCAAACCCAGGCTGCGGCGGGGGGAGGCGGGGAGGGGGGACAGGCCTGGGCATGGACCTGGGCTGCTTCCCGCCCCCTGCCTGGCACTAAGGGTCACAGGAGGGGGGCATGAGCATGTCCCCTGGGCCAGTCCGGCGGGCTCCAGGCGCCTGAGCTGAGCAGCTCCCGGCCGCACTGCCAGGGCGGTGAGCGGGGACGCGGCCTCACAGGGAGCTGGCCGCCTCCAGCCTCCTCTCCGGGCACTGCTGGCGGCACCAGCCCGTCCCGGGGGTGGGGGCACCGTTGCTGAGTAACCGCTGGGAAATGGAGACGAGAGGCCTTAGCTTCCTGGGCCAAATGGGCCGCGAGAACAGGGGCCTCCCACAGGAGGGCGCACACACACACACACACACACACACACACCCCCACACACACCCCCCCCCCCACACACACACCCCCGGCCTCAGGGCCGGCGGCCACTCTCCTCCCGGCACCCGTCACACAGCCAGACCCGGTCCAGTGTCTTCACTTTTACTTCTTCACATTTCAGCGAACAATCAAGGTGCAAACAGGTTTATTTCACATTAATATATTAACTGGAATTGTCAAATAAATAGGGCGTTCTCTTTACACAGCATCTCCTCACTCCGGCCAGTCCAGGGCGCGTCGCAGTGACTCGGGCGGGTGCCCGCGGGGGCTAAGGGAGGCGGCAGGGCCGCGAGGGGCTGGGGCTGTCGGGCAGGCGCGCTCCCAGGCAGGTCCGGGCAGCGGCTGTGTCCAGCCCGCCCAGCGGGGGCATCTGGGCGCACACGTTCTCCAGGCGCAGGAGCCCCTTCTGGGCGGGAGAGGGGCCGAGGGGAGCCAACCCGAGACAGGAGCAGGAAGCAGGGCTCCCTCCTGAGCCTCGGTGCCCGGCGGAATGCCACCCGCCCTGGAAGCCGGGGGGGGGGGGGGGGGGGGGGGGGGGGGGATGGGGTGATGGAGGCGGGGTGATGGGGCGAGGGCAGTGACGGGCGGGGGGGGGGAGATGGGGTGACGGAGGCGGGGTGATGGGGGGGCGAGGGCAGTGACGGGCGGGGGGGGAGATGGGGTGACGGAGGCGGGGGGATGGGGGGGGCGAGGGCAGTGACGAGGGGGGGGGGGAGGCGGGGTCGAGGGCAGTGACGAGGGGGGGGGGGAGGCGGGGTCGGAATGTGAGCGGACACGGGCGGAGCGGCCTCGTGGCAGCCCAGGCCGAGGGCCGGGAATGTGGCAGGGCTGCCCTGGGAGGACGGGAGGCTGGACTGCGGCAGAGGAGGTGGAGAGCCCTCCGTGGGTAGAAGCTGCTAGAGCAAGACAGGAACTGGGGCCCCCGCCGAGGAGCGCCCGCTGCTGCGAGGGGTGCGCTGGGCAGTGCGGGCTCCGGTCGGGGGGAGCTGGGGTGCAGCTCCCAGTCAAGGGGCCCCTCCTTCCCTGGACGCCCGTGCCTGGCAAGTGTTTATAGTCAGAGCTGGAGGAGGAACAGGCCCCCATCACCCACCGGCCCCAAGGGGGGGGACGAGAGGCGGGAGGCGGGGTCTACTGGGTCTTCTTATCCTCTGGGGGGTAGTAGGGAGGGGGCGGAGGCTGGTTCTGTGAGGGAGGAAGGGAAGGTCAATCAGAAGGTTCGAACCCAGCCAGGGTCTCCCCACCCCAGGCCCCAGCCACCCATGGCCACCCCGCTCCGCCCCGCTGGCCCCACCCGCCCCGTCCTATGGCCATCGCCCCCCCCCCCGCACCCCCCCCTTTGCCCACCGCGTCCTGTGGCCCCGGCTCCGCCCCATGGCCGCCCCGCCCGCCCCGCACGCACCGCGGGCATGTAGACGGTGTGCGGGTTGTCCGGGTTGTAGTAGGCGCTGGCGGCTGCCTCTGCGGCCTTGGCTTCGGCTGTGAAGGCAAACGCCAGGCTGAGCCTCCCGCTTCCAGCCGCCGGGGCGGGGCCGCACTGCTCAGGGCAGCCGCCAGGACCCCGCTGTCCACAGCTCAGCCTTGGCTTTTCCTTAGCCCCCCACCTGCCACTGTCCCCCCTCCCTCCTCCCCCTGTCCTCCCCCCTCCCTCCCATCCCCTCCCGGTCCTCCCTTCCGTCTCCACCCGTCAGCTGGCCTCCACCCGCCAGCTGGCCGGAGCCATCTGCTCGGAGCTGAGCAGCTGAGGCCCAGGCAGAGGGAGACCGGCCTGGACCCGGGCACGTGCCCAGCTCTGCACCCTGAGCCCCACTGCGGCCTGGGCGCCCTGGGCAGGGCGGCCCCACTGGGCTCCCAGCGGCCTCCGCGTCCCCAGCCCCTCCGTGCGGCCTGGGCAGGGCGGTTCCCAGGACGGGCGGCCGGCTCACCTGCCGGAGTGGAGGGGACCTCGGGGCCGCTGACAGGCGGCTCCATGGGCCCCGGGTACGGCGGCGGTGGGGGCTGCACGTATCCCATGGCCCCGTCCATCATGGGAGGTCCTGGATAGAACTCTGCTCGGCAAGAGGGACAGGGACCCGGTGAGCGGCCAGCCCCGTTAGGCTGGTTTCCCCTCACTCCGCCCTGGCCCGGGGGGTGGGCTGGTTAGTGGGTGGGTGGGTGGGGGGCAGCGGGACACACTCACCGGGCGGGGGCGGTGGGTAGGGGTAGCCGGGAGGGCAGGGGTACATTCCGTTGGCGACGGGCGGGGGGAAGACATAGGGCCCGCTGGGCAGATAGGAGTAGCCATAGGCTCCGGGCGGGGCTTCGCCTCGGGAGGCTGTAAGCACAGGAGAGTGAGCTCGGCCTCGGGCTGGGGAGGGCCACCCTGGGAGGGGAGCTCAGGGTCCGGGATGTGCACAGCAGACGGACCTGCTCCCACCCACCTGCTCCCCCACACCTGAGGTGACCTTGGTCAGAACGGGGCAAGGGGTCAGGATGGGGACAGAGGTCAGAGTGGGGAGGACAAGAACGGAGGGAGAGAGGGAGGGAGAGGGGAAGGAGGAAGGAGACTGGAGAGAGGGAGAAGGGAGGGAGAGAGGAGAGATGGGGAGGGGAGGGAAAGGGAGAGGGGAGAGATGGGAAGGGGAGGGGAGGAAGGGAGAGGGGAGAGATGGGGAGGAAAAGGATGGGGAGGGGAAGGAGGGAGAGGGAAGGGAGGGAGAGGGGAAGGAGGGAGAGAGAGGGAAGGAAGAAGGGAGGGAAGGAGAGAGAGGGGAGGGAGGAAGAGGGGAGGGAGGGAGAGGGGAGAGATGGGGAGGGAAAGGATGGGGGAGGGGAAGGAGGGAGAGGGAAGGGAGGGAGAGGGGAAGGAGGGAGAGAGAGGGGAGGGAGGGAGAGGGGAGGGGGAGGCAGGCTCGGGACTGGGGCTGGTGAGGCTGCCTGTGCACACAGCTCCGGGAACTTCAGGTGTCTGTCTGTCTGAGGGTTCCTGCCACCCCACCCCCCGCCACCCCCCAGGCAGCTTAATAGGGCGTTTGGGTTTCATGAGGCCAAACAGCTTCGGCTGAGTGTCCAGCCCGGCGCCAGGCAGGAGCCGGCCGGCAGGGAGGACAGGGCGGTGCCAGGCACAGGCTCCCTCCCCACGCCCAGCCTGCAGCCCAGCCGAGGCTTCTCCCGAGTGTTTAAAACCAAAGTGATCAAACCCAGGGAGCAAACCCCGCGCACGTCACCGCCCTCCCCGTTTGCAGAGCCCATACCTTGCGAGGCCACCTGCAGCATGCGCTGTCCGAACTCGATGGCACCCCCGGCCATGAAGGTCAGCTTGTACGAGGCAGAGCCTTCCCAGCCGCCTGAGGACAATGGCCACGGTCAGCAGGTCACCTTCCCGCTGAGCCCGCCGGTCCCTCCGGCCCAGCGCCCGCTGGGCACCGAGAGCTCCTGCCCCTCCCAGGAGCAGGCACCGTCACAGCCACTGACATTCAAGTTCGGAGCTGACCTCCCCTGAGGGGCCTAAGGATAGACTCTGCACCCGCGAGCCCCTCAGTGACAGTGCCAGCTCCCGGGCCAGGGGAGGGCGGGGGCTGGCAGAGTCCAGGCGCCCGTGGAAGAGCTGCCAGGCAGGGCCTCCGGGCATCAAGAGCAGCTCCTCGGGCTCCAGGGAGGTCTCCACAGCCAACACCGGAGCCGCCGGTCACAAGCTCCCACTCAGCTCAGTCCCTGCCGCCTCCCCTCTGCCAAGGTGGTGCACTGCCACCTTCCATGCCGGCACTTCCCATCCTCGCCAACCTAACCCCCTCCGCGGAGCAGCTGCGCCAGGGGTGGGTGCTGGGAGCTAACGGGGCCAGGAGGCGGCCAGCTGGACGGGAAGGGACCGGAGAGGCCAGCTCCAAGGCAGCGAGCGCCCCTGGGAGCCCGCGGATGCCCCCCCCCAGCACCCACCTCCGGCCTCAGCCTTCACCGTCCCCTTGATGTAGTTCGCCCCGAACACCGGCTGCTTGATCTCGCAGTCCTTCGTCAGGTAGAAGGGCATCATGAAGGACCGCATGGCATCCTTCCCCTTGGACAGAAAGATGACCTGCAGCGCGAGAAGACGGACATCACCAGCCAAACCGCCGCCACCGCGCCCTCGCTTCCTGCGCGGGGCGGTCCGCCAGGGCGGCGGGCAGCTCCGCCGCACCGGCCCTCCGAGCTCCCCGGAGGCCGGGCCCCGCAGGCAGGGGGCAGGCTGCCGCCACTGAGGCGGGGACGGTGCGGGGGGCCGCACAGCTGGCAGAGGCGGGGAGGCCGGGAGGCGTCGGAGGGAGGTCTGGCCTGAGCTTTGCAGAACCAAGAACGAAGGCGTGGCGAGGGCGCGGGAGCTCGGAGGGGGCTGAGGGACCCTCCCCAGCAGCACGCCCCCATCCGCGCTGCAGAACCGCCTGTCCCCCCAGCCCCAGCGACCGGAGTGCCGCCTGACCCCACATGGGCGTGGAGCCTCGCCTTTGGCCGCTAAACCCTGGGGTGAGGCCTTTCCCAGGAACGCCGTGTGTTCCTCTGGCGGCCCCGGCGAGGGCCCCGTGCAGCCCGGCATCCTCGCTCCGCAGGGCTGTGCTCCGGACCCTGCGGTCACACTGCCGCATCCTGGTCACCACAGTGACCGCAGTGACCGCTCTGATGTGCAGAGGCCGGAGGCTACGCCACAGAAATCCAGGCGCAGCAGCCTCCCGGCCCGGGCAGTCCGCTGCCCCGGGGCCAGCCCGGCTGCGCACGGCTGGTGGTTCTCGGACCCAGCGGCGCGTGGCAGAGCAGCTCCCATCGCGTGGTCCAGAGGCCACTGGGCTCACGGGCTGAGGCTGCCCAAGACCCAGTGAGCAGGCGCCACGGCTCCTGCGCCACGGCAGGGTGACTCACCCGGTACGGGGTCAGGTAGACGGTGCCTTTCTTGGTCCCTTTGAAGGCTTCCGGCACGTTCTTCATGTCGCCGAACGTGAGCTCCACGTGCTCGTAGGACATGAGGATGCTGCGAGGGGAGAGAGGGTCTGATGAGTCTGCAGCCGCGATCCCTCACCCGGACGGACCCTCCTGCAAAGCAGGGGCCCGCATGTGGCCTCTTCACAGTTCAACGTGGCTGCAAGGAAACCGTTCCCGTGGCCATGGGAGAGGCGAGCAAGTGGGTTCCACTGAGCTTCCCAGCCCACTGCCCGCCGGAGGGGCCAGAGGACCCGCCCGGCTGCGGCGAGCAGGTGAGGTTATCTGAGGTCACGCCCATCTCCTTCGGAGTCCTTATGATAGGTGTTCCATTTTCCGTGTTTTGTATTTTTATTTTTCATGTTTTTATTGATTTCAGAGAGGAAGAGAGAGGGAGAAAACATTAGAAACACCAAGGATGAGAGAGAATCATTCATCAGCTGCCTCCTGCACGCCCCCAACTGGGCACTGAGCCTGCCACCCCGGCATGCCCTGACCGGAAACAAACCTGGGACCCTCAGTCCACAGGCCGACACTCTATCCACTGAGCCACACTGGTTAGGACAGTGCTCGGCAAACTCATCCGTCCACAGAGCCAAATATCCACAGCACAGCGGTGGACATTTCTTTGGAGAGCCACAGTTTTTAAACTTCAACTTCTTCTAACGCCACTTCTTCAACACAGACTCGCCCAGGCCGTGGTGTTTTGTGGAGGAGCCACACTCAAGGGGCCAGAGAGCCGCCTGTGGCTCTCGAGCCACAGTTTGCCGACCACGGGGTTAGGGTGTTCTTGGTTTGTTTTTTAACCCTAACGCATGATCACACACAGTTAGTTAACGGCTGGTTGGGGTTCCCTTAAGCCGGGGGCCCGTGGCTGGGTCTGCAGGGATGCCGGGTGCTGAGGCCGGAGGTGACCCTGCGTATTTCCCGGGAAAACCTGTAGCTTTCCTCACTCTCGGAGGGTTCAGACCTGCAGAGTGAGGGGGACTGGTTTACACAGGAAACTCTGAGCGGGAATTTAAACGTCCAAGACCGTGTACACGTTGTTTTCGGGAACAAGGCACCGCGTTATTGAGCAGCACTGAGCCCTCCGCCAGGCAGGCGGCCCCACGGAGCCGACACAGCTCGTCCCGGTGAAAGCGCACCGAGAGGTAAGAACAGCCCCGCGCAGTGTCACCACATGGCACCAAAAGTGTTTGTCAGGCCAGGGCCTGGCACGGGCACAGAGACAACCAACTGGGAGCCACGTGAGTTTCTCCGATTTTAAGATAACAAGGTTGGTCTAAGTTCACGTGGTTCCACTGGCCTTCCTCCTCCTCCCAAATATCACAACTTCCTTCGCTGGGGAGGGTCCGCGGGAGGGCCGGGTACCGAAAAAGGGAAGTTCAGCTCAGAGAAAAGAGGTTGTTACCAGGAACAGGATGGCCTGGCGGAGTCTGAGCAGGTAAGACGGAGAATCAGCACTCAGGTGAGGGCGCTAGGCGTTCTCCAGACTCTGACTCACCCAGCGTCCCCGGGGGGTGGCTCCTGGGCTGGGTGCTGCCCGGAGCCAGCTCCAGGCTCCAATCCACCAAATCTGCTCTGGAGACTCGGGCTCTTCCTAAGCTCCTTCCACCTAAACCAAGAGCTTGGGGCTCAGCACAGCTCACCCAGGGCAGGCTGGTCTGATGCTCAAGGCCCAAGGCGCAAGGAGAGAGGAGCCATCCCAGCAGCACAGACGCTGGCAGGGAGGAGGGGGGGCGGACAGCAGTAACTGGGGAGGGGGTTGGTAGAAAGAAATCTTCAAGTTGGGAGACCTCTGCTTTGGGGAATTCCCCAAGCCAACAGGGATGCAAGAGGAAGAGGGGCAGAAAACGGCACCGGGTCCAGGAACTGTGACAGGCACTGGGCAAAGGATCTCTCTCTAATCTCAGCTCCGGCCTGTGTCTGGTCTGAGCAGTTCTGGAACCTACTGGAAGCCTCACCTATTGATTTTGGAGTCAAGGTTCCCTTTCCTGGAATTCCATCTCTGTCACAGCTTTGTGATCTCGGGCAAGTTACTTGACCTCTCTGTGCTCCCTCCCCCTCCCCCCCCCCAGATTCCCTACGTGTAAAATGTGTATAGTAACAGGACTTACGTGTTAAACAAGGTAGGAGAAGGGCAGGGCCTGATGCATAGTAACAACATAGTCAAACCCCATAAACGGCAATTATTCTTGTCGAAGGCTCTTCCCATCACTTAAAAGTCGCCTTTTCTGGGAAAGGGGCCCCAGGGCTACCCCCGCGGCCCCACTGGCCTCCTCAAACTTCGTCCCTTCAGCCGCCCCACCCCCACCCCCACCCCCACCCCCACCCCCACCCCCACTCCCAGCTGATCGGAGCCCGGCCCCGCCCCGCGGCCCACCCACCGTCCTCCAGCCCCGCCCCCAGCCGTTCCCCCCCCTCACCGCAGCCCATCAATCTCCCCTCTTGGCCCACTCTTTTTGCCCAGCGCCCACCGCCCACACTCCTGCGGCCCTCCCTTCGGGCCTCCCGGGTCTCGTGCGGCGCTTTCACCTCTCGGTGTTGTTGACGATCACTCCGCCGCCCTCCGAGTGGTTCTTGTTGAGCGCCATAGTCCCCCGGAGAGAGGTCCCGAGACTAGCAACGCAGTGCGCCTGCGCCCCTCTGGGCCCGCCCCTCGTGGCGTCGTTAGTAATAGAGCCAGCCAATCACAGCTCTTAGACGGAGGCTGGCCCAACCACCTGATCCCGGGTGTCACGTGGTCAAGAGTTTACACTGTCGTCGTCCCCCGCACCCCTCCCCCCCGCTTCCGCCTAGTTTCGCCTGCATCACAAACAACTGGAAGACTACAATTCCCAGAAGGCAATGCGCCCTCAACCTCTCCGTGTACTAATGAAGGATGCATTCTGGAATTTGTAGTCTCCCAGACCGTAGGCCTGGATGATTCACTACCTTGCCTAACTAATCCTCCTCCTATGGACGCCCCACTTTGTGGAATGAATAGTTGAGCGCATCACAGGGGAAATTAATAAAAAAAAAAAAAAAAAAGACAACACTGGGCATCCCTCGCTGGTTTTGCTCAGTGGATAGAGCCTTGGCCTGTGGACTTAAGAGTCCGGATTCGATTCTTGTTGGGGGCACAGGCCCGGGTGGCAGGCCCAGAGGCATGCGGGAGGTAGCTGATCAGTGATTCTCATAATTGTTTTTCTCTCTCTCTTCCCCCTCTCCCTTCCTTTCTGAAATAAATGAAAGTATATTAAAAACAAAACAAACAAAAAACCACTGGACACACAGAATGTGGATGTGATCTGGAGTGTGGAGCGCAGAACAGTCACCTTACCAGGGCATCTCCACTCCCTCACATTACGGAGCGCTTACTAGACGACTTCACATCCCACTTGGGTAGTCACTGAGCCGTACACATAGGCGAGTGCAAGATCTAGTCTCTGTGGCAGGACGTGGTGGGCTGGGTAGCTGGCACAGAAGAGTCAAGAAAAACTTTCCCGCCGAAACCGGTTTGGCTCAGTGGTAGAGCGTCGGTCTGCGGACTGAAAGGTCCCAGGTTCGATTCCGGTCAAGGGCATGTACATCGATTGCGGGCACATACCCTGTAGGGGGTGTGCAAGAGGCAGCTGGTCGATGTTTCTCTCTCATCGACGTTTCTAGCTCTCTATCTCTCTCCCTTCCTCTCTGTAAAAAAAAAAAAAAAAATATATATATATATATATATATATATATATATATATATATATATTTTTTTTTTTTTTTTAAGAAAAAAAAGAAAGAAAAACTTTCCCTTCATGACATCAAACCTGGACCCTAGCCCAGCCAGTGTGGCTCAGTGGTTGAGCCTTGACCTGAGAACCAGGAGGTCACAGCTGAATTCCTGTTCATAGCACATGCCCGAGTTGTGGGCTGGGTCCCCAGTAGGTGACGTGCCAGAGCCCATCAATGATACTCTCTCATCATTGATGTTTCTCTCTCTCTCTTCCTCTCTGAAATCAATTTTAAAAGCCAGAAGACAAACAAAACAAATTAAAGAAAACAAAACAAAAAAACCCAGATCCTAACAGGTGGACGGTGAGAATCTCCATGTTCTCCGCACCAAATTCACTGCCCCATGGGATGGGCTCCCACCTCATTGCCGTCTCCACCAGAACTGGCCTCCAGATGGCACTGTTCCCTCTAGAATGTTCTGGCCTTGTGGTCCAGCCTGTCCCCGCAGCTGGAAGATTTTAAGCAGACTGAATGAAATTAGGCATAATGTGGGGCTGGCAGCTTACCAAATAGGGCTGATTAGTTTCAGCTTGTGACTTGGCATTGGGTGGCCCTAATGGGCATCTGTAGTTAGTGAACTCCCCCTCCTTGAGGGGATTTTTAAGGGGGGAGGTGAGCATCTCTCGCCTGCGAAGAGGTGCTGGTGCATCATTCATCTTAAGGGCTCAAGAGTTTCATTCCAGACAGACAGCTAATTTCCTGACACGTGGTGGCCAGTCTCAGGGTCCACCTACTTAATTTAACTTTTTAAAAAATCCTCTCTGTAAAAAAATCAATAAAATATATTTTAAAAAATAAAATTAAAATTAAAAATCCTCACCAGAGGGTATATATATATAATTTGCATGAAGAGAAATAGTTGCTAGGCTATTTTATTTTATTTTGTTGTTTTATTATTTATGTTATGTTATTTTATTTTTATTTTATTTTATTTTAGCCCAGTTACCCACCAGGAGCCCTTTTTAGTAGTGATCTTATTCCTGGGGTCTAAACTAACAGACACAATCCTGCATACACGGTGCTGTGGCCACACTGAGGTCTCCGGACAGGAGGGGAAATGTGATAAGGAGGAAGCCGGATGGAGAGAGATAGCAGGCTTAGCGGATTCCGGCTTAAATGGCCAACTTTTTTTTTTTTTTTAAATATATTTTATTGATTTTTACAGAGAGGAAGGGAGAGAGATAGAGAGCTAGAAATGTCGATGAAAGAGAAACATCGACCAGCTGCCTCTTGCACACCCCCCTACTGGGGATGTGCCCGCAACCAAGGTACATGCCCTTGACCGGAATCGAATCTGGGACCTTTCAGTCTGCAGACCGATTGCTCTACCACTGAGCCAAACCGGTTTCGGCTTAAATGGCCAACTTTTGCAAGTTTCATAAAAACACGTCCTGAGGGCTGCTCCCAGGCCGTGGAGGGCTGGGCGGTTCCCAGCCCCGACACGGTCGGTTCAGGGGCAGTTCCTTGCTGATCCAAGCCTGCGGCAAAAGCCCCCGACTGAGCCCAGGCCTCACCCTCAGTCCTCTCCTGCCTTCTAGGCCACACAGGCTCTGCTTGTTTCCAGAAATGGCCGCTTTTTTTTCTTTTCTTTTTTAATAATATATTTTTACAGAGAGGAAGGGAGAGGGATAGAGAGCTACCGGTAGAAACATCGATGATGAGAAAAACATCGACCAGCTCCCTCCTGCACATCCCCTACAGATGTATATGCCCTTGACCGGAATCGAACCTGGGACATTTCAGTCCGCAGACTGACGCTCTATCCACTGAGCCAAACCGGTTTTGGCCAGAAACAGCTGCTTTTTGTTAAGCTGTAAGTTCTCCTCTTTTCCAGACCCAAGCATCTTGAGGTGTGCTAAGAAGGGGTATGAGTGCGCCTGAGAAACACTGCCCCCCACCTCCAGGGCAGCCAGGTGGGGTCCAAGGTGAGAGAGCCCCTGGACCCTCCTGACCCCCAAGCAGCTGCATCTCTTTGCCTCAGTGAGCAGAACCAGTATCATTTGTGTGGAACAAAGAATCGCTTTCTTGGAGTGCCCAGACCTCCAAAAAGGGGGAGCAGCGGTGGGCAGTTAGACCTGAGCAGAGCGAGGACGATGGGCCAGATTCAGAAGGTCACCAAGGAGGAAAGCCTGGGTGCCCAGCAACGGACAATGGTAGGGGGACCTCGCCCCCAGGGGACCTTTCCTCCCCGAGCATTCCTCTGGTCATAGGCTTAGACCTCCTGACCTTTCCGCCCTGGCGCTGACCTCTAGGCTCAGGAGCATTTCAGCTCCAGGCCCAGAAAAGCAGCAAAACCGGACCAGCCACCCCAAGGCTGGCCCGGGACTCACCGCATCGACCACAGAGCCCTGGCCTGGACACTAGCGGCCTGCAGGGTCACACCTGGAAAGCCGCTGCCTAGCCCATTGGGACCCTCCCCTAAAGTCTCCCCCTTAAGCCCTTAGGACGGGGACCCAGTGCGCCCTCCCTCCGGAGCAGGCCCTCACCCTTCTCTACCCCCTCCCCCCACTTCCTCACTTTGCCTCTGTGATTTGCTTCCCAAGGCCATCTCTTCTACGAATGACTTCCTCTCCCTCTGGGATTTGCCAGCCAATGTTCTCCGACTGCCTGAGTCTTGGCTCTGAGTTCTTCCCCAGCCAAAACCCAGGTCCCCAGGTTGCTGGACCCAGCTGGGTCTGGCCCCGCCCGTCTCACACCCGGTGCCCTTCCTGCTGCCGCCAACACTTCCTTGTGTTTAAACTCTGACCCACAGCGAGCAATACCTTTTATAAGGAGACCCATACGCCCGGTGCGTATTTATTTATAAATGCAAAGACAGAGTGGAAATCAGCTGGACATGCAAACAGCCTGCACCGCCCCCGTGGGGCGGGGCGGGGAGACGCAGGCGAAGCCCCAGCCACGCTGCAGGGGCCCCGCTCTCCCGAGGTCACACAGCAGGGGTCAGAGGTCATGAGGACCCCCTCCCTCAGCGACTGCCGTTTTCTTACCAGAAACACCCCAGGCAGGCTTGGCAATTCCTCACCATTAGGGGGTGCCCCCTGCTAACTGCAAACTGCAGCACCCAACCCAACGCTCGTGAATCCCACTGCTTCTAATCGCTGCTCAGGGCCAGCAGCTCCCCCCAACCCCCAGGATCGGGCTGACCCTCGCTTCCTGCGGAACCTGCTCAGAACCTTCCAGAACCCACACCTGACTGAGACTATTTCCCGGGCTGCGGGCCGTCCTGGGGTGAACTGTCCGGGAGCCGTTTGGCCAGAGGAGACCGGGCGCCTGAGCAGAGACAGCTGGTGGTGGGAGCTCATTCCCAGAAACACTTTGAAGGTTTATTGAAAAATGGCTTAAGGTTTAAGTGTTTACGCGATTTCCCCCCAAAAGGAGACTGGATTACATCAGCTAAAAAAAATAAATAAAAAAAAAAGAGTTGCATTCGGGACAAGTTTTATTTCATATTGTTCTCCAACATTCTCTGTTCTACTTTGTTTTTTTAAAAACCTGATGTTGAAACCAGTTTGTCTCAGTGGATAGAGAGTTGGCAGACTGAAAGGTCCGGGGTTCGATTCCGGTCAAGGGCATGTACCCAGTGGGGGGTGTGCAAGAGGCAGCTGATCGATGATTCTCTCTCATCAATGTTTCTAACTCTCTACCCCTCTCTCTTCCTCTCTGTAAAATATCAATAAAATATATATATTTTTAAAAAAACAACACCTGCTAATTGTTAAGCGCTAAGTAGGTTTTGCAATCCTCATCTGGAAAGCCCCCTTCCTGTTCCAGAAGAAAGGTCAGGGGTTGACCTGAGTTCCTGGAGCGGAAGCTGCCCCATATGTATGGCTCCCCA